CCCCACTTGGCATAATATATTATTATTTTAATTAGTTGGAGTCTATTGGCTAATATTTTGTTGAAGATTTTTTGCATCTGTATTTATGAGGGATATTGGTCTGTAGTTTTCCTTTTTAGTGATGTCTTTGCCTGGTTTTGGTATCAAAGTTATACATGCTTCATAAAGTGAATTTGGGAGGATTCCTTCCTTTTCTGTCTTTTGGAATAGTTTGAGTAGTATTGGTGTCAGTTCTTCTCTGAATATTTGGTAGAATTCTCCAGTGAAACAATTTGGGCCAGGACTTTTTTTGTGGGTAATTTTTTTTATTTTCTTCTTTTGTTATGGGTCTGTTCAGCACTTCTACTCAGTCTTTGTTAGTTTAGGTAAATAGTGTTTTTCTACAAATCTGTCCGTTTCTTCTAGATTTTCAAATTTGTTGGAGTATAGCTCTTCATAGTATCCCCCATATTAACTATTGATTTCAGTTGGTTCTGTTGTGATGTCACCCAATTCATTTCTTACTCATGTTATTTGTATTTTCTTCCCCTTTTCCTTTGTTAAATTTGCCCATGGTTTGTCAATTTTACTAGTCTTTCTAAAAAACCAACTCTAGTCTTGTTGATTTTTTTCTATTGGCTTTCTGTTTTCTGTTTCATTTATTTCTGCTCAAATTTTTGTGTCTTCTAGTGACTATGGTTTTTTTTGCTGTTCTTTTTCTAATTGTTGGAGGTACAGATTTAAGGTGTTGATTTTGTTTCTTTCTTCTTTTCTGATGTATGCATTTATAGCTATAAATGGCCCCTGATCACTGCTTTTGCTGTGTCCCAAAGATTTTGGTATGTTGTGTTTTCATTTTCATTTGATTCAAGAATTTTTTAATTTCATTTTTTATTTCTTCTATTACCCACTTGTTCGTAAGGAGGGTGTTATTCAGTGTCCATGTGTTTGTTCTTTTTCTGTTCATCTTCCTATTGTTGATTTCTAATTTTACAGCATTGTGATCTAAGATGCTTTACAGTATTTCAGTGTTTTTAAATTTTTTAAGGCTTGTGTTATGACCTAACATATAGTCTATCATGGAGAATGTTCCATGTGCACTGGAAAAAAATGTATATTGTGTTGTTGGGTGAAGTACTCTGTAGATGACTATAAGGTTAAGTTGGTGGATTGTATTGTTTAGTTCTTCTGCATCTTTGTTGAGTTTCTTTCCGGTTGTTCTATCTTTGATTGAAAGTGGTGTATTAAATTCTCCTGCTATGACTGTGGAGTCATCTGTTTGTCTTTCCAGTTCTTTTAAAGCCTGATTTATGGATTTTGGGGCTCTTTCATTGGGTTCATAGATATTTATTATGGTTATGACTTCTTGTTCAATTGGTCCTTTAATCATTATATAATGCCTTTCCTTGTCCCTTATGGTGGTTTTTGTCTTAAAGTCAATTTGATCAGAAATTAATATTGCCACTGTTGCTGCTTTTTGGTTGCAATTTGCTTGATACATCTTTTTCCAACCTTTGATTTTTAGTCAAAATTTGTCTTTATCTCTAAGGTGTGTCCCTTGTAGACAGCATATTTTGATGGGTTTTGTTTTCTTATCCAGTCTGCAACTCTTTATCTCTCAAGTTGTACATTTAATCCAGTGACATTCAGTGTAATTATCGACAAGTATGAATTTGTTGCTGTCCTTTGTTATGTGTTTTTACATGGTGTTCTTGCTTTCTTTGTTCCATATAATTTTCTGTGCTGAGCTCATTTTGTTTATGAATCGGGTTATCATTTTCTTTATTGTTATTGTTGTAGTATGTGCTTGTCCTCTTTTATTGTGATATGAAGGTTTATTGTTTTTCTTGGAGGTTACCCTGTGATTTATAATTTGAGCTCTGGTAGCATAGTGGCTAAGGCACTTGACTGCTAACCAGAAGGCTGGCAGTTCAAACCCACCAGCCACTCCTCAGAAGGAAGATGGGGCAATCTACTTCTGTAGTGATACTGTCTCGGAAACCCAAGGAGGGTCGCTATGAGTCGGGTCCGACTTGACGGCACATAACAACAACCACATTCTATCTTGCAACTCTCTTGATTTCCTCATCATTTAGATGTTCTGTAACTACACTCTTTTTCCCCTCTTTTTGGTTTGTAGTTGTCCTAATTTGCCAATTGATGTCTCTCCTTCCCTGTTTACAATCTTAGGAGTTTATGTACTTTGGATACTTTCATAACTGAGTTAGTTTCTGGCTTATGTCATCATGTGTATTAATGGCCAGTTGGTGTTTGCTATTATTGGTTTTCTGTTCAAAAGATTCTCTTTAGTACCTCTTGCAAGTTTAGTTTGGTTTTGACAAATTCCCTTAATTTCTGGTTATCTGGAAATGTCCTAATTTCACTGTGATATTTGAGGGACACTTTTGCTAGGTATATAATTCTTGGTTAGAAATTTTTCTGTTTCAGAGTTTTATATATACCATCCCATTCCCTCTCGCCTGCATGGTTTCTGCTAAGATATCAGAGGTAATCTTATTGGTTGCCCTTTGTAGGTAACTTAGTTTTTCTCATGCTGCTTTCAGGATTCTCTTTTTCTTTGGTTTTGGTGAGTTTGATGATGATATGTCTTTTTGATTTTCTTTTGGGGTCTATCCTGTTTGGGGTTAATTGAACTTCCTGAATGGATATGTTGTTCTCTTTCATCATATCAGGGCAGTTGTCTTTCAACAAATCTTGGACAGTTTTCTCAGTGGTTTTCTTTTTTCTTCCTGTTCCGGAATTCCGATTACATGTAGGTTATTCCTTATGATGGTATCTCACATGAACCTTATGGTTTCTTCCTTTTGTTTTGATCTTTTTCTGATGGATCCCTTTCCAAAGATGTATTGAGGTATTTGTCTTCAATCTCATTAATTCTTCTTCCATTGATTCAATTCTACTTCTTTGCCTATTCAATGTGTTATCTATTTCTGAAAATTTAGTATTAATCTTCTAGATTTCTATATGTAGAGTTTGTATCATTTCTAATTTTTCATTTATTTTGTCATGTTGTCATGTATTTTCTTCCAAAATTGTTTTAGGGTTTTGTCTGTGTTTTCCTTAATTTTGTCAGTCTTTTCCTTGGTCTGTGTCTCAATCCATTGAAGATACTTAAATATAGTTCTTTTATATTCCTTATCAGAGAGTTCTAGTGCTGCTTCTTCCTCAGGGATGTGTTCTGGGTCTATATCCTGCCCCCTTGTTTCTACTGCTCTATCTTGCTTCTTTGTGTGGACCCTGATGGTCTATTGTCTCCGAAATATTGTGACTTTGTGGTATTTATATTTCATTGGTGATTGTATGTTGAAGTGATTCACCCAAGATTTTCTTTTTTTTCTTTTGGATGTATCTGAGTAAGCAGGGTACTGTGCTCCTCTATTAACTAGTTGGCAGCATTTAGGCACTCACCACCTGTCTCCTGTTGGTTGTGATAGAGAATGAGAGTGGCTTCACAGATCTCTGTTAACTGTGAAGAGCAGTTAAGGGTGAGTTAGGCTTGTATTGGCTGTTGTGTATCATTGGTCAGTTGGTGCAGAAGCAAGTGGTGGCCCTCACTCAGTAGATAGAACTGCAGAGATACAGGTATGGTTGGGTTTTATGGGCACTGTTGCTGTTTCCCAGTTAGTTAGGCAAAAACAACAATCAAAAAAGCACCAAAAAAAGTAAATGTTGGAGGACAAAACATACACACCACATAAACACACAGAAACAATCTCACCAGAAAGAGAAAGGGGAAAAAAAGGGAGGGGTGGGGGAAAAGGCAAGAAATGAAATTAAATATTGAAAGAAATACTTTTAAAATGCAACGAAATGTGAATAGAAAATGAGAGGAAAAAAAAATCCTGCAATCTCTGGGGAGGGAGGAATAAGAGAAAAGAGCTAATGAAAGAGAATAATGAAGAAAAAAATGGGAAAAATGAAAAAAGAAAAACAAGGGATGGGAAGAACCACAAGACAGGGAAAAAATGGAAACAAGGGAAAAAAAGCCAAAACTAGAACCTGGGAAGGGAAAAAGGGTGAAAATAAAAAGGAAGGGGAAAAAAAAGAATTTAAAGCAAACGAAAAACACATTGGGGGCAGTGGGATGGGTAGCGGGACAGGGCACTGGGACAGGGCACCCAGGCTCTATCAGAGCACACAGAATGGGATGGAATTCCTACCAGCCCAGAAGGTGGGTGGAGGTGAGGGATAGCCACACTTTTCCATTCACCAATAGGGTGACATACTGTATTTCATTCATCTGTTCACCAGTTCTTGGACTTTTTGGTTATTTCACTTTTTGGCTATTATGAATAATGCTGTTAGGAACATTATTATTCAGTTTTTGTATGGACATACGTTTTCATTTTTCCTAGGTATGTATCTAGGAATAAAATTGCTAGATCATATGGTATCTTTAATATTTTGAGGTAAGGAGGTGTGGTGGTATTGTAGTTAAAGAATTTGGCTGCTGACCAGAAGGTAAATGGTTTGAATTTACCAGATCCTCAACAGGAGAAAGATGATGCAGCCTGCCATAAAGATTTGCAGCCTTAGAAACCCTGTGGGTAGTTCTGCTATGTCCTGTAGGGTTAATGAGTAGAATTCATCTCAGTGGTAGTGGGTTTGGTTTTGGTTTTGGCTTAACTGTTTTCCAAAATGGCTACATCATTTTATACTCTGACCTCTTATATATGAGGGCTCCATTTTTTCCACATTTAACATTATTTTTGGTTTAGTTTTCTTGTTGTTTGATTTTTTTATGTTTTCAGCCATCTTCGTGGCTTTGAAGTGATAATCTCAATGTGGTTTTGATACGCATATCTAACATTTTTTTATGTAAAAAAGATGTAGCATACACAGACTACAAAATACTATCAGTATTAAAGTAATATTTTAACTAAATTAATTAGAGTATTTGTTTGAGTTTCATTTTACTTATTTGTTTCACATAAATCACTCCCTAAATAGAATTTTTTCACTAGTCTGGAAATTTATACTTCTTTTGCATTTCTTTGCAGTCAGCTTCCTCAGACAGACAAGAGAGATTAAACCAGACCATTAAAAAAGGAAAAGTCAAGAGCATTGATCTACCTATCCAGAGTAGCCTATATAGACAGTTGGGCCAAGATCTTCTCAATAGCTATATTGAAAATGAGGTATGTAAATTTGAGTTTGATTAGTGACATAGGTAGTGGTATAGTCTGAAATTTTGTAGAAGCCAGTGATTATCTACTAAGGGAGTATTATGTAGATCATAAAACTATTTTTGAAAAAATACTCAGCTTTATTAATGTTGTATCTACAGTCTAGCTTTATCTAATTTATAAATACAGATTATCTTCACTGTAGTGAAACACCATTCTGAGATTAATGATTCTTACCTCCTTTTATTCTGTCTTTAACTGAAATATGCAATGGAATCTTGTAGGGGGAAGTGTTAACAGTTCCCCACTTGAGATGCAATGTTCTTAAAGATTAAGGCTCTATTCAAAATGTTTTCGGACTTCCACTTAATCCTGTTAGTTTTTAATCTGTTGTTTTTGAAATTTTACTACATGTTCTTGCCTATTTACATGTTTAATTTATAGTTGCTTGAGGAAATGACTTCTGTTTCTTTATAACAGTTTTTTCTTAATTTTTAAATGTCTCACTATTTTATATTCACAAATGTCAATAACACTGTAGCTCTAAAGAAAGGCTTATGCTTAAAATACCATGTAGTTTTATTAAAATGAAAATTTTGTTTTCAGGTATTACAGTCTGCAGGGATTCTTTATCTTCTTTGCTTTTGATCATAACAGTAATTTTTGCTAACATCTTTAAAAACTTTGGTATCTTACTTAATTCTCAAAACAAACCTATGAAGTGTAAGTTCTATTAGATAATTCTTTTTTTATAGGTAAAGCAACTGAAGCACAAATAGGCTAAATCATCTTTGGATTTGGGTACAGGTGTCTTTCCCCAAAAGTCAAGATCAAAATCACTATAATATGTCCTCATCCATAGCTAATTTTTATTCCACATCAGTAGTGTGCCAGGCATTGTAATAAAAGTTTTACATTAATTTTGGCAGTCTTATCAACAGCCCTATGAGGTAGGTGCAATTAAGATCCCTAAGCACTCCTCGGAAGAAAGGTTGGGCAGTCTACTTCCATAGTGATACCTCCTTAGAAACCCAAGGAGGGGTCATTATGAGTCGGATCCAACTCGATGGCAGTAGGTTGGGATTTTAGAATAAGAAAACAGAGGCTTAGAGAGAGGTTAGATGACCTGCCATTGGTCTCAAAGCTAGTAAGTGAACCTGAGTATGTATAATGTCAATGGCATAGTCCATGTTCTTAATGGAAACTAATCTGAAACTTTTTGTATTAGGGGAAGATGATAATGCAAGATAAGTTAGAGAAAGAAAGAAATGATGCTAAGAATGCTGTTGAAGAATATGTATATGATTTTAGAGATAAGCTGGGCACTGTCTATGAAAAATTTATCACTCCAGAAGTAAGTTTAAATTTCATAATTTTTTAACTGTGTTGCTTGAGAATACTAGTATGTGTTATGTAATAAGTATACTTCATTATTTTCATCAGTCATCTTGAACCCATATGGGATGGCTTATAGTTATTTTTCCAAATTAAAGAAGTATGTTGAAAAACATTTTTATGAATAAACCAGACTAATCCGAAGTTTAATCTTTTATAATTGAAAAACATTCTGTCCTACCTTGATTACTTTTATTTCTAAGGGCATTTTCAATCAGTGTTTCTTAAATATATCACTAGGACTTGAATAAACTATCTGCAATACTGGAAGACACAGAAAATTGGCTTTATGAAGAAGGAGAGGACCAACCTAAACAAGTTTATGTGGATAAGTTTCAAGAACTAAAGGTAAATTTTTAATAAATATGTAAGGAATTCCTGAGGCAGAGATGTGTTCTTTCTAATTTTAAAAGCATTTTGTGAGGAGAATAATGCTACTTGATAATTGAAATTGAATGTACATTTATAATTTTCTATCATTGTAATCAGATATATATATTTAAGAAACAGCCAAACCACACATTTCTGGGATGTCTTTAAGTGAAAAATTTGTCAATTTGACTCTTAATCATAAGATTAGTCATCCTTTCTGTTTTCTCCCCCTTCACTGTTCTGATTTTGGGGAATGATATTGCACTGCTTTGTTCTTTCACTGTGCAGCTGATGGGGACTTCAAAAATACTCTTGAATGTCCTTTTCCAAATGAAATAAGGAGACTTGCCAACCAGGTCATATATCTCTTGGCCAATAGTATGATTTTAAAGGAAAACCTCTCTTTCTCCTTCTCCCTGCTTCTTACTCTTCCCCTACTGGGGAAGGCAGGGAGAACCTTAAGAGATTACAAATTCATATTGAAAGGATGAAGGGAAGTTTCAGGCATTCCATTTTAGTGTGGATTATAGCAGTGCTTTATTATATGCATAAATAACCTGGGGCTCTTGTTAAAACACAGATTCTGATTCAGTAGATCTAGGGTGGGTCCCAAATTCTGCATTTCTAATATGCTCCCCAGTGATGCTGATGCCACTAGCCCCTGAATCAGTCATTGAATAGAAAGTGATTACATAGTTCCTAAATGGTGCCATTAATAAGGATTTTTAAAATATGGAAAGACCAACTCTCTAGGACTGGAGGAGGTAGGTAGTGTTTAAGAGCAAAAAATTTCTTACAAAAATTACCTTCATGTCAATAAATTACTTTCATAATAACTAATTACAAACCAAAAAACCAAGCACACTGCCATCAAGTCAGACTCGACTTACAGTGACCTCTCCTTGGCTTTCCGAGGCAATATCACTATGGCAGTATATTGCCCAACCTTCCTCCCAGGAGTGGCTGGTGGGTTTGAACCGGCCGCCTTCTGGTTAACAGTCAGATGCCTTAGGCACTATGCCACCAGAGCTCCCAATAACTAATTAGAAAACATAAATTTATGACAGCAAAACTAGACCTCATATTTTATCTTCTTGGTGGTTTTTACTCCTTATCTCCCTAAGAAGAACATATATATTTTGAGTGTTAAGGAACAACAAGGGAGCTGAGGCCAAAAAAATGACAGAAGAGTCTGGTAGGTCCCAAAAAGGATCTGCCTCAAATAAATAAGCAGCCATTGAAATGAATATTAAAGAAGTTTTCACAGATTTTACTTTGGTTTTTTCTGAGATGGCTTTTAGAAATTTAAAAAATGTAGTTTTTTCTCTCCATTTAAGTAATTAAAAGTATAGTGTAAATTAGCTAAATGTATTGTGGTATCTTAGGATAATAAAAGATGAAATATGAATAAAATCTGGAGTTCAGGTAATGTTAATGCACCAGTGTTCATTTCTTAGTTTTGACAAATGTACCATGGTAGTGTAGGATATTATTAATATTAGGGAATAATGGTTGTGAAGTGTATGGATCTTTTTCTGTATTACCTTTGTAACTTTTCTGCAAATTGAAAATTATTCTAAAATAAGTTTATTTTTATTTAAATACGGAAAAGAATTTAAAATATTTATCCATGTTATTCTTCCCCTCCTCTAAAATAAGGAGATTCTTTTAACATTTAGAAACTTAAAAATTCCATTCCACACACCTGAGGAATGAGTCAAAGGTATTTTTAAAAAAAAAAGAAAAACTATACTTATTGTGCAGTACACATTTCAATCTAATGACTAAATATAAATTTGTAATATTCAATAGATACTATCAGGAACTCTCAGTAATCATGTTGCATAGAGAGAGTTATAAGCATTATAAATAACTGAACCAGGTTTTAAATACTTGAATTCTACATGTTGTATAGCCCTCATGATTTCCTTAGTTTCATAGTTTTATCAACTTACAACACCTCACTTTCAGGAATTAAGGTATTGATTGAAACTTTGGATTTGGGAGGAGTCAAAAGATAATAAATGAGAGAAAGAGGTAAGGCCTGTAGGATTGAGTAAGGAAATATCACTGGAACTCACTTCCATAGGGACATAATAAGTGACATAATTCTAATCTGATCAGCTTTCCTGCCTATTCATCATCCTATGAGGATTCAATAGTCGTTTTTTCGTTTGTTTGTTTGTTTTTAAATAATGCCAAATTTTTCTTTTTTAAAAAATTATGTTAACAGAAATATGGCCAACCTATTCAAATGAGGTACATGGAACATGAAGAGAGACCAAAAGCTTTAAATGACTTGGGAAAAAAGATCCAGCTTGTCATGAAAGTGATAGAAGCATACAGAAATAAGGTATTGAATTCATGAAGCCCGCTGGTGATGATGGTATGCATGTGATACATGGAGAGGGTAGGGAAAATGAAACAGTACAACAAGAAGGCTATAGCAGTTATTACCAAATTCCAGACACTAGAGACTTTGTGCATCAAACTTAAATTTTTTTTTTTTTTACTAGAGAATTATTACTAAAGGATTCTGATGGGTTTAAAATACATCTTTCATTTTCTAAATTCCACTGAACCATATTACAAGTTAACCCAGTGACCGGATTCATTGTTTTCTTCTTAGAGATTGCATTTTATGTTTTTCATATAAGGTAAAAGAGGCCCTCTTTGAGACTGTGCTCCTCTGCCAGCCTTAATTTGTTTCTTGGCCTCTTTGGTTTTCTCTTAGTTGCTCTTTGTCTTTCAGTCCGTAAGTTATCTGTAATCGCCTGTACCGTTTATTCCTATATATATATATATACTCTAATCTGTGTTACTAACCTTGACCTTTCTACAGTTTTTGAGCCCAAAATATTTGGTTATATAAAGGATATATTTCCATTTAGAGGTAAGAGTAAAATTTGATGAAATTAACCTTAAAATTTTTTCTTCTAATTGATGCATTCAGTAGCAATTATTTTCTTTAAAGGACCAAATAATAAATATTTTAGGCTTTTGTGAGGCTTTCCATTTTTGTACAACTGTTCAACTCTTCCATTGTTGAACAGCAGCCATAGACACTACGTAAACTAACAATCATGACTATATTCCCAAAAACTTTTTATTAAAAAACACAGTAAGCAGATCAGATTGGGCCATAGTTTGTGACTCCTACTCATAAGTAAATATTCATTATAATCTTCTAGTTTTTATTATTTTAAAACTGAATCTGTGAACAGAAAAGGCCAGCATCAGAAATATTCAGGCATAGGTATCATAACAGCTTACATTAATGAAACACTTGGTGAATTTTAAGTACTTTACATGAATGATCTCACTTTCTTTGTGCAAGGATACATCCTATAGAGATAGTTAATGCTGGTCTTCATTTTATATATAAAGAACTAAATGCTTAAGCAGTTTGTCTAGGATTACACAAGTAGTAAATGATAACGAATTCACACTTGATTTTTTTTTTTTTTTTGGCAATACAAACTCTTTACCACCATACTTTAAAATAAGAGTACTTATTTTAGAAATAAGAAATTTTTGACCTTTCTAAAACAGCATTATCCAGGATATGAAGCTAAAGGAAAAATGAAAGTACTGCTTGTGAATATGCTCACCATTGTCAGTATCCAAATTATCCATATAGGCATAAGTAGAAAATAAGGACAATGGAGAGGTCAGCAGGAACAAGCAGACAAATGAAATCAAAAGGATATTTCAAATCCTGTAGTGAAGAATCCATATATAACTATGTGACCCAATGTTCCCCAGGCATTAGCAATCTTTTTGAGTGTACAGCTTTAAGCTGTTATCCACAGCAAAGCAAGACATCATTCATGCTCATGCATGAGTGTTTATTATGTGTCAGGCTCTCTTCTAAAGGTGCTGGGACTACAACATCAAACAAAACATTGAACTTGTTTCTGATATGCTTTACAATTCAGTGGTGAAAGATGGACAGTAAATAAAGATGGACTTTCCTTCTGGTCTTCTGAGCTTTATCCCTGGCCAAATGCTGCCCTTTTGATCTAATATGGTTGTTTGTTTTAAGGAGTGCTTACCTCCCTGTTGTTCTGGGTCTGTTGGTCACTTTATTGGCCTGTCTGTAATTTGCCTGAAAGCTGAGCCAGTGGGGTGACTTCAGTTCCAGGCTTTTACAATTTTTACAGTTCCAGTGTCTTTTACAATTCAGTAGTGTAACGAAAAAACTCCAAACTCACTGCCATTGAGTGAATTTAACTTATAGCGACCCCTCCTTGGATTTCCGAGGTGGTATCTCTACAGAAGTAGATCGCCCAATCTTCCTTCCGAGGAATGTGAAGGGTGGACAGTAAAAAAAAAAGGTGGACATTCTTTAAAGTATGTCAGATGGTGATTAATGGGCTGTGGAGAAAGTAAGATAAGAGAGATAGGGACTACCAGAGGTAGAGGAGGTTTGTCAGAGAGAAAGGCAAACTAATAAGTGATATGTGAAGAAAAGACTAAAGGAGATAAGTACTTAAGACAGGCATATACTAGATGGTGCCCGGCTACCACTGTCA